GTATATTGTGTGGTGATCACTTTGGCCAGTAACTTTGTTTCTAGATGATTATAGTCCTTTGTCATCCTTTCTCACAGTGATAGTAGAGACTGAGGTCATGTGTGAAATACGTTAAAATCAAATGTGCTATATATGATTAAATATAAGATACTCTTGGGGCACTTGGGTGGCTCAGTCCGTTGAGTGTCCGACTCTTGATTTCAGCTCAGGTCATGATACGGGGATCGTGAGATTGAGCCCTGCATCAAGCTCTATGCTGCCTGCTCTCTTCCCCTCCCTCATTTTTTTTTTTTTAAAGATTTTATTTATTCGACAGAGAGAGATCCAAGTAGGCAGAGAGGCAGGCAGAGAGAAAGAGGAGGAAGCAGGCTCCGTACCAAGGAGAGAGCCCGATGCGGGGCTCGATTCCAGCACCCTGGGATCATGACCTGAGCTGAAGGCAAAGGCTTTAACCCTCTGAGCCACCCAGGCTCCCCCCCGCATTTCTAAAAGAAATAATTAAAAAATAAGATATTCTTTTCATAGTCAAAAATTGGTGTTCTTTCTTTCCCACTATTAGGTAAGTCACAAAGAGCACTCATTTCTGCAAAATGCAGTTACTTAATACAGGAGCAAAAATCAAAGAAGAGTATTATGGTATATATACTATAGAAGAATGCTTATTTTTATTTATTGTATTTTTAGATATATCAAGAAGATAGTGTTTAACTTTGACTTCTAGTCAGGACTGCATTTGTTGGCAAGTAACAGAGAAGACTTGGAGGTAGGCAGTGTACAACTGTGTGGGCAGCTCCGTAATGTTGTCATTGTCCCGGGTTCCTATCTCTTGGCTTTATACATGGATTTCATTCCCATGGTCAGCTCATGGCTTCAAGATGGCTGCTCCAATCCCAGACTTAAGTCCTCCTTCCAAGCAGGAAGAAGAAAAAAGTACAAATGGCAAAAGGCAAAGGGATATCTGAATCCGTCTTTTTTTTTTTTTTTTGTAATCAGAAAACATAGCTTTCTTGGAAGCCTTACCTATGATCTTTTGCTTACATTCCATGGGCCAAAAATGATCATATAGCTATCCCAGTTGCAAGAGGAGTCTGGAGAGGAAAATAGTTTTAGTTGGGCACATTGTGAACAAAATTGGGCCTGTCAGAGAAAAGGGGAGAACAAATATTGACTAGGCAACTTTGTAGTATCTGCCAGAGATGTAAATAATTTTTCATTAGTAATATGAAAAAATACCATGTTTTTTCTCTTAAACCTAAACTAATCAAATACTCTGTGATTAAACTTGTTTCATATTAGAACAAACCAAAAGAAGAAACAAGTATAACCTAGCTTCTCAAACCTGTTATTTCTCTTGTTCTTCAGGTTCCTTCTACATTCCTCCAACGCACCGTGCAGAGTATTACTCAGGAATTTGAAATCTGTAGATAGTTGTAGTGCCTGACAAAGAAAACCCCATCAAACTGCTACATTTAATCCTGAAAGCATTCCTGTGACATATTTTATACACTGGAGAAAGAAACTAAAGCATTGTAGGATATGGAGTCTTTCTTCTAGTGTAAGGAGGAAAGATTGCGTTCTCATTTCTCCTTTGCCATGGCTGACATTACGAGCTAACTATTTAACTAATTGGCTAATATTTTGGATCTGTAAGTCCCCGGGCTGCCTCAATCATTAAAACTTCTCGCTGTAATTTTTATGAATTTAAAACACAGGTATTCTATAATTAGATCCTAACTCTACTCATGAAAATTTTTTGAGAGAGACAACACAGAGAGGGAGAGGGAAAAGCAGACTCCCCACTGAGCAGGAAGCTCCATGCAGGTCTCCATCCCCTGACCCTGAGATCATGACCTGAGGAGAAGGGAGATGCTTAACTGACAGAGCCTTCCACGTGCCCCATCTACCCATGTAAATCTAATAGAGGGTTAAAGATGGTAACAAATCTCTTCTGGGGAATCGTGTTTCTTTCATACACTAAATAAATATAAATAAAACTTATAACTGTGCTCTGGAACTTGAAAAGAACTTGGAGAACAATTACCCTTAAAAGATGTGAAAAGTGGGGCACCTGGGTGCTCAGTTGGTTAAGCTCAGCTGAGAGCCTGCTTCTCCCTCTCCCTCTGCCCCTCCCTCTGCTGGTGCTCGCTTTCTCAAATGAACAGATAAAATCTTTTTAAAAAATGTGAAAAGCTCCTCCCCCTTTCAAAAGCCAACAGCTTATATGATTTTTCTTAACATATATGAAGTCTTACAGGTTTTCTAACTAAGGGTTTAACTTCTCTCTTCACATCCAGGAATATACTAGTAGATCTAAGAAATAATTCAGCCGTGAAGGCATTGAGTATTTTTTTTTTTAATTTTTTTTTTTTTAAGATTTTATTTATTTATTTGACAGAGAGAGATCACAAGTAGATGGAGAGGCAGGCAGAGAGAGAGAGAGAGAGAGAGAGGGAAGCAGGCTCCCTGCTGAGCAGAGAGCCCGATTCGGGACTCGATCCCAGGACCCTGAGATCATGACCTGAGCCGAAGGCAGCGGCTTAACCCACTGAGCCACCCAGGCGCCCAGGCATTGAGTATTTGCTGTGTTTTAGGGATTCAAAAGCAAAATCCAATCATATGGTCATATGGCATAGGATTCTGTGCACATGAAGGGTGGGATAGGATCCTGGTTAAGGGAGTATGCTCTTGGGCCAAACTGCCAGGATTATTAGCTGTGGGATCATGAACTGTTTACTTAGCTTCTCTGTGCCCCTCAATCTCTATCAGTCAAAGGGGTATAACATTAGTATGTACTTCGAAGGATGATTATGAGTTAATTTCCACGAAGAAGTTAGTACAGTGCCTGGCCGTTTGTCAGCAGTGAAAAACATTAGCTATTATTTTAGCCATTAAGAGATTCCCGTTTTCCAGCGCAATTTAAGGACCCTTCTCTGGGTCATTTGTGTCAGAACCTCCAAAATCCAGTTGTGGCAAGTTTCTCTTAACACGGTTCCATTCCCCTTTTAACATATACTGAAAATACAATGGAAACTCTTACTGCGTTTCCTTCTACTTATAACTTAAAATAATTAAAGCAAGCATATGCAAAACAAAAAACAAAATAATAATCCTTTTACACTCTACAAAACTTTTCAGACAAAAGCCTCAAACATATTTCAGAACGTTTTGGTAGTGGTTTACAGCAGGTATTAATCTGATAAAGACTCACTTTTTTATGGCTTTGCCCAGTAAGGGCTCATGGATCCTCAAGAGTATGAGTAAACAGACCACCAAGATTTAATGAATCTCTGCCAAAATGGTGATTTTTTTTCCCCTTAAACACTCAACGCCACATAATGTTGCAAGTAGAGAAAAGAGAAGGCAGTCAGAGTGTCCTCATCAGACACTCCTCACATAAGTAGGAGACAGCAGTTCTTCAGTAGGTTTTAGAAGGTAGGATCCTTGCCATAGGAAGAGAGCTGGGTTTAGCTGCTTGAATGGGTTGGGTTAATGTAGTTCTGATTCCCACCACAGTGGCCAGACATGACAGGCCTTTCAGGCGCAAGTACTCACCTATAAAAATTATAGCTAAAAGTCAGTCACTCCCATGCATTTCAAACATGAACAGGTTGCCCTGGTAGCTTTACACTGAGACCTACGGCTTCAACAGCTGTAGCCTCTGGTAGCAAAAACAAAAAATCTTCCCAAAGTGGCAATTGTTTGGGATTATCATGGGAACTCCTACTTACATACAGCTCTAGAAATATAAATTCAAAAGTTTTGTGAGTTCAGTCATTCAATATTTGCTGTGCATAAAACCCAACTCTTCAAAATTCCTGCACAAGTAGGTCTAGTCTATGAAGGCCCACTACAAATGGTAAATGTTTGATGTGTAACATTTAAGATTTCTGCTAAATTTTACAAATTAAACAGAGTAGATGTGAGGTTAAGAGAAACTTGAGGCAGCAAAACCTATTTGATTTAAAAAATCTGAGTCCAATATGTCTCTTTCAACAAGTATTCCTTGAAGTATTTATTGATCTTGTTGATCACTATTAAATTTGTTAAAGATTAGTATTGTGATTGCTAAATATTTCCAAAAAGTTGATTAATTTCAAATTTACTGGATGAGATGGAAAGAACGCTATGGCTCCTGGAGGATGAGTTTATTTTCCAAAGTTTATGTATAAAAGGAAGTCTTAAAATTACATACAATACTGTTTCTCAATACGTCTCGTAAACATACTTAAACCCTGGCATGCATTACTTTTAAGAAATCTACCATGCTTTAAATGCGAGAGCTTATCTTTCTTCCGTGGGAGGGTAATTAACAAAAGGGCCCTTAAGTGAGGTGGAAGGGGAAAGGGAGGAAAGGAGGATGGGGCCGCCTTCCTTCTGGGTCACTGTTCGTTTGCGCGTGCTAGATTCCGAAAGAGAAAAGGTCAGCCCAGGAATGTAGTGATTCCTTATTATCTCAAGATGGAAGTCGGGGCTCTTGGGCTTGTCCAGGTTATGAATGGAGAGCTCGACTTCCTTCTCCCTGGCGTCTTCCTAGGTGGCAGTGGGTTTAGGAAGGAAGTGATAGGGCGCAGGCCCACAGCCCTCGCCCGCGCCCCCCGCAATCGAGTCGCGAGGCCGGGACGGTTCAGCTCACCCCAGTGTAAATTCTGGGAGGGCCCGCTGGAGGAGAGCTCCGCCGGGGTGTGCAAATGTTGACATTAAAGGAATACGCAAATTCAACGTCGTAGTCCCCGCAGCTTACCCGCACCTATTTTTATATCTAAGCCAAGGTCACTCCTTAATACCAGGCCACAGCCCTGAGCTGGGGCGTCGCGCTCTGCCTAGTGACGGCTGCCCGGGCGGAGATCGGGCTCCGGGGGCGAGGCGGGAGCAGTGCGGCGCCCCCTACTCCGCCCCGCTGTCGGAGCCCGCACCTGCCGGGCGGCCGCCTGAAGCCCGAGCCCGGAGGGAAGCAGGGCGGCGTCCCCGGCGCCGAGGAGGGGCCGCGCGGCGCGGGCGGGGGGATTCGCGGTGGGCGCGGGCGCAGCGCGGCTGCAAAGGCTGGAGGCGCTGCGGCGCGAGTGCGTCACGCCGGCGGAGGGCACGGTGGGCTGCGGCCGACCCGCCAGCTAGGAGCCAGGCGTCCCGGGCGAGGGGGAGGCGGCCGCACCCGCCCTGGCAGCCGGGAGCTGCGAGGCCCGGGACCGGCCGGGGGTCGCCAGCGAGCAGCCGCCGGCTCCATTCATTCCCGCGGCTCCGCCTCCTTTTCCTGGCTCCGGTAGCTCCAGAGGCGCGTCGGAGGTAAGTGCGCAGTCTGTCCCGGGCGGGGGCCTCGGGCTGAGGCCGAGGCTGCAGCGCCTGATCCCGCGCCCCGCCGACTCCGGACCCGCGCCCCCGCGGGCGGCGACGGGAGCCGCGGGCTGAGGGCCGCCCTGAGGACTCGGCCGAGGCGCAGGCCCACGCCGGCCTCCCGGGCCCGGGGCGCGCGTCCAGCTGCCGGCGGCTGGCCGGATCCCCCGAGGGGCGTGGGGCGCGCCCCCAGGTGCGCCGGCCTCCTCGTCAGCGCCACCATTTTGTGTGAGGGAATGCCGCCTTCTTCCCTGGCCGGCCTCGGATCGCGTTCGGCTCCCCAGCTGCTGCGTGCCGAGCCCCCTCCCCTCCCACTGCGCCCCACCTGGAGCCTGTCTGCGCTCGCCGGTGGCCCTGGCTGGGTGAAAAGCGGACCTGGTGAGGCGGCGCGCCGAGACGTTTAGACTCGGGTTCAGCCACGCCGGTGGCCTCCAGAGATGCTCTGACCACCTCCCTTACCTCCAGCCTCTCTAGGAATAGATATCGTATAGGTTCTCTTCTAGAATGCTGGTCGTTGCAATTTAGTTCTAATTCTTAGGTGCCCATTGTGCAGTTTTTCGAGGCCTGTGCCCCAGGAGATCGATGGGTGAAGCAGCGTGCCCTGGGTTGTTTATGCTTCAGGGACCTGGATTACGTTTACTCCCATTATTGTCCTTTGGGAGAAATGATGAAACCTCTTACTCCATTTTCGGCTCCTGGAGATTCGTGTGGGTATCTTAAAATTATTTTAGATTATTACAGTAGATTCCAAGATAACCACCTGATGCAGGCCCCCTCCCACCTTTGAGAGATTATTTTGAAACGTCAGTGAAAATGCTCCCTTGTGAGGATTTTTGAGGGGTTTGGGGCTGGCGGAACAGGTTACTCGAAGACTACCAGAAGGAGAAGTTGTAGTTGTGATTCAGAACTGTCACACAATTTGTCATTTTCAAGGTTCCTGAGAAATTGGTAATTGGGTTTTGATTTATCTTCTCACGAATGTACCTAAGTACCTAGTGGATTATACTTGAGCCATTTGTATTTTACCACTGCATCACAGGGATTAAAATCTGGCATGGTGGCTGTTGCATAATACACACGTTTGGGCCTTGGAGGGAATTCACCAGACTGGATCCAGGCTGATGTGCCTTGTATCATCTGCTTACGTTGATGGAATTGATAGCACCTAAGGTGTACTGGCTTTGTTTGCAGACTGTATAGCTTGTTTTTCTTCTACCGGAGGAGAGAGATTTTAGTGTCAATATGGACCTGGCTAAGTTTTCATGTTGTGGGGAGGAGGAGGAGGACAGGGAGTGAAATAGTGAGAGGAGCCTGGGAAATGACCATTTGTGATAAGACTTCTAGTACAAACAAAGATAAAATGGGAGTCTTTCAGTGAAAGCTTCTAGGTGTCATAGTCACCTCCTCTCTTTGAATTTATGATGACGATTGGTTTAGGGAACTTAGAAATAGATTATGAGTAGCAATATTAGCTTGCTGCATGAGTGATTATGATAACCCAAGATGCTTTACCTGTGGATTTAAGGTCTCATATTAGTCTGACCTGAAATTAGTCCAAAAGAGTATTGGAATCATTACAAGTGGTATCATTTTCTCATAAAGGTACAGTATATGCCAAACAGAGGGCTTAACTCTGATTTAGATAGAACAAAGTATTTTATAATAAGCTTTTGAGAGTAAAATTTTATTGTTACCCTTCTTAGGAAATCACTCTTTTTTTTCCTGAATAGTTGAAGACTCTTCCAATAATTCTTGTGACAAACAAGTAATTTCTTTTCATGTACCATTCCTAGCAGAAATGTCGTGCCTCTCATTAATGACATGTTCCAGGAGGAGAATTATGGAGGTGAAAGGGACCTTGGACATGGAGAGATGAGTCTTGTTTTAGGGAACTTAAGCAAGCACAGATTGTCTGCTAGGGGGTTGTAGTTGCCTTGATTGGGTCCGTCTTGGTTCATGGGGAACATGATTGATCCTCCCAGAAACTTCATATTTGAGCCATACACAGTTCCCACACCTTTGCATTGATTCTGTTAATACACGGATTACAGAGGTTCACTGAATTGGTACTATTGTATTTTATTAACTCCAACTTGGATTAATGTGCTTTGAGATTTTGAGCATCAATTTACCAATGTTTGAGAAATTAAAAAGGAAAAAAAAATCTTTTAATGATTACCTCCCACTACCCCCCCTTTTAAAAAGATTTTAAAGAGAGTGGGGGGTGGGTTGAGAGAGAGAGAGAGAGCAAGCATGAGCATGGGGAGGGGCAGAGGGAGAAGCAGACTCCCCACTGAGCATGGAGTCCAGAGAGGGGCTCCATCCCAGGACCCTGGGATCATAACTTGATCCAAAGGCAGATTTTTTTTTTTTTTTTTTTTTGGATAGACAGAGGTCACAAGTAGGCAGAGAGGCAGGCAGAGAGAGAGGAGGAAGCAGGCTCCCCGCTGAGCAGAGAGCCCGATATGGGGCTCGATCCCAGGACCCTGGGATCATGACCTGAGCCGAAGGCAGAGGCTTTAACCCACTGAGCCACCCAGGTGCCCCCAAAGGCAGATGTTTAACCTTACTGAGCCAGCCAGGTGCTGGCTGGCCCCCCTAGGAGAAGAATTATGGAGGTAAAAGGGACCTTGGATGAGGTCTTGTTTTAGGGAACTTTTACTTTGTGGGGTTGAGGGGGAGGGTCAGAGTGAGAGGGCAGATGGTCTCAAGCTGAGTCCCTGCTGAGTGGGGAGCTGGAGGCAGGGCTCATCTCACCACCCTGAGGTCCTGACCTGAGCCAAAAATCAAGAATCTGCCACTTAACCTACTAGCACCCAGTCTAACTCTTTTAAATTAAAAACCTTATGTTTGTTATGTTCAGTTACGTGCCTAAAAATGCAGAGATGTACTTTTTAAAGGTAATTAGAATATAAGAGGATTGAGTATTCAGGCGCAGGTTCCAAAAATACTTATGAAGGATTCTGTAGAAAGGATTGTTGGTTGAACAGGAATTGAAACAAAACCTTCATGTTTCTTCTCATTTCTAAGATTTTGTGATTATAACATGAAAAGGAATTGTGTGATTACTGTGTTCAAGATGATTTTCTCTTCATACATCTTAGGCTTTTGATTCATTGTATATTTAGCACTGAAATTAAAAGTTCTAAATTTAGTATGCTTCATGGGTAGTAGGATATTTCACAATTCTTTCCAGCAACAATGACAGCAAAGTTACTCAAAGTTGAATTTATTAAGAAAAAGGTGTCATGGCTTAAAAACAGTTAGGGAAAAGCTGATAATTTACTAAGGGCATCCTAAAATAATTAGACTTACTCAGTTTCAGAGCTGGTATATGAGACCTTAAGGGTTATCTGCTTTGTGGGGGGGAATTATTCGTTTAGCTCCACCTATTCTTTGTCTAGAAAGTTTGTGACTTATCACATATTTTTAAAAATATGTATCATTTTTAGGTACTACCTGCCCCAGTGAATGTTAGTTTTACGCTACACCAGAGGTAGCTTTCATTTTATTCAGTAAACACCAAGTGTCTATTTTATAGTTAAAGGAACACAAAAACAAATAGACCTCACTTTCATGGAGTTTATAGTTAAGTATTGTGGATTAAAATGTTAAAGAGTCCTTAAAATTTAAATACGTACAGAGTTTTGCAACTATGGATTGTGCAGTGGAGAAGGTTTATTTGCTCAAAGAAACTGTAGAGGGAAGGAACGAAGAAGTAGAACTGAGAGAGTGTGTGTCCCGGGAAGGAGAGGAATATTGATGCATTAGATCGTTGGTTGGCTTTGGTCTGTCACAAGGTCAGGAGGGGTGGGGGTGAAAATAATCCACTGAATCTGGGTGTTGATAGGTACTGGAAGCCTTACGAGGAGTATTGTCAGGGCACCTGGGTGGCTCAGTTAACTTATCTGCCTTCGGCTTGGGTCATGATGCCAGGGTCCTGGTATCGAGCCCCCCTCATCAGGCTCCCTGCTGGGCGGGAAGCCTGCTTCTCCTTCTCCCAGTACCCCTGCTTGTGTTCTGCTCTCACTGACTCTCACTCTGTCAAATTATAAAGAAAATCTTTTTTTTTTTTTTTTAGATTTTATTTATTTATTTGACAGAGCGAGACACAGCGAGAGAGGAACACAGGAGGGGGCAGTGAGAGAGGGAGAAGCAGGCTTCCTGCTGAGCAGGGAGCCTGATGCAGGGCTCGATCCCAGGACCCTAGGATCATGACCCAAGCCAAAGGCAGATGCCCAAAGACTGAGCCACCCAGGTGCCCCAAAATAAATAAAATCTTTAAAAGTAAAAAGCGCTATCATTGTCATGATGAGGGGAGGAGCCAATTGAGGAATGAATAAGAGTGTTGAAAAGGTCAGAGAGCTTGACTTTTTGTTATACAATGATTGATAAAGAAAGACTATTATTAAATAATTTTATAGTGTAAAATCTTTTACACATAAATACCAGTGCTTTCAAGTTATTAATACCTGATGAACTTACTCTCATTCGTCACTTAACAGTAGTTGTTATTCAGAGGCAGTATAATCAGAATTCAAGGCAAATAGACCTGGGTTTGAAACCTGGCTTTGGTGTTTCTAGCCATCTTTTAAAAGATACTTAATCTCTCTGGGCCTCAGGTTCCTCATCTGCAAAAGAGTAGTTATAACAGAGCCTATCTTAAAGTGAAGGCAGAAATAAGTGTGATCATGTCTCTAAAGGTGAGCTATTAGTATTATTATCATCAAGGAAATTAGGATAGTTTTCAGTACCAAGTTCAGCATTCCTCATTTTTTTTCTCCCTTTTGCTATCTTCTCATACCCACCCTGTGTATAATACAATACTTTGTTGAGGTATATTTCGAAGCAACAATTTACTTCTTCACCTTTAAAATGAATTGTGATCTGCCGCTGGTCAGAGCTTTGGTACTGCATAAAGTATAAACCCTTTAAACCCTTTGTAGCTTTTG